AGCAGGGAGCCCGATGTGGGACTCGATCCCAGGACCCCGGGATCATGACCTGAGCCAAAGGCAGACGCTTAACGACTGAGCCACCCAGGCGCCCGGACCCTTACTTTGTTAACAAGCAAACCTCTTTACAATGAAATAAAGAGGAAGAGAACTCCAGGCCTGCCACGGGCCCCACCTTCCCAGGTCCAGTCCAGTCTTAGAAGTAGGATGCCCGGTGTAGGCATGCAGATGGGGCAGCATCAACTCTAGGGGCCATTCTGACTGCAGACTGTGGGAACGGTGCCCCACTGGGCAGCACACAGCCTAGGAGCCGTAGGGGACAGCCTCATCTCAAGATTCCGTGCACATACCTGCTGACATGGTACCCAGAACCTAAGCAAGGAAGAAGGAAGGAACGCACAGCTCCTCCCAACTCATGGAGCCAGAGATGATAAAGGGATGCCACTGCCCAGTGACTCTGGGTAATGCTAGGCATTCCCAGCCTGGAAAGCGGCCCTCAGCTTGCCAGGCCGAGTGGACACAGCTGCAGCCCTTAGGCTCAGTGGGAAGGGGGATGCGTGGCTATAGCCGTAAAGAGCTTCCCAGCAGGGCCAGAAGGCTCTGGGAGGCTCCTTTGAGCGCAGCAGCCTGTGGGAGAGCTAGGGCGAGGGAGGGCTATGAGGACATGCATGGTTTTGGTGGGGCCAAAAGGAACTGGAACTGACGCTCTCATGTTCGCTATGGAGTGGCCCAGGCTGAGTCAGCGTCCCCAGCACCGCACCAGCGCCAGGGACCTCCAGCCAGCCTGCCCCTGAGAGAACCACACACAGAAAAACAAAACCTGAAGTGGGAAACCAGTGCCACTGTTTACACAGAAGGGGACTCTGTGTTTTCAGCAGCATTTACCCAAGAGTCCCTTTAACGAGCCAAGCCCTCACTACCTTCAAACATGCGTTTCATTTCCCCAAGCTCAAGGTGCAAGCAACTCTTTAAGGAAGATGCTAGGTGTGGGCAAGGAACGTAGCTCTGGAAGAAAACCCAAAACACCCAGGAGTGAGGCGGCCCTCAAAAGGTCTCTCAGCAAACACATTTCTTAGCACTTAGTAATTGCTCAGTAAAACCTACTCGTTATTAATAGTATGGTAAATAATAATGAGGGCGCCTGGGTGGCTCAGTCGTTAAGCGTCTGCCTTCGGCTCAGGTCATGATCCCAGGGTCCTGGGATCGAGTCCCGCATTGGGCTCCCTGCTCCGCGGGGAGCCTGCTTCTCCCTCTCCCACTCCCCCTGCTTGCATTCCCTCTCTCGCTGTGTCTCTCTCTGTCAAATAAATAAAAATAAATAAATAAATAAAATCTTTAAAAAAAAAATAATAATAATGAAATTTAATGCCTCAAAAGCCTAGGCAGGGGTCCCCGCTCCTGCTGTAGGCATGCCCAGGTCTGTCTGCTGACTGCCTCCCTTCTGACTGACCAAAGGGACCCTTGTCCTTGGGTCATAGCATAGCTCACCCTGGTGTCTACACCCAAGCAGAGAGCAAAGCGTGCGGAGCCACTCCAGTAATGCTGTTTACCTTGGTAAGGTTCAGGAGAGGTCACTTCCACTTCTGTGTACTCCACATCCAAGGTCAGAGGCTCTGCTCAAAAGAACCACAGCACCGCACAGTTAGACAAAACCCCGCCCGCATTAGAGATTTCCACTCAAAGGACTGAAGGAGTCCCTATTTCGTGGAGGAAGCCAGACACAGGCTGAATGCCATTCAGGGTGAGAGGGACACCACAGGCTGGGGAAGACAGTGATGAGTCCTGCTATCCCCAGGATGTGGAGGGACCCTTCTGCCCAGGTCCCCTTGTTTCTACAGGGGAAGGATTTACAAAAGCTCAGGATTAGCCACGCAGTTAACTCTGGAAGCCTATTCCACGGCCACAGGCATAGAAAGCTATCTCCAAGATGGAAAGAATCTCAGGCAATGGGGAACAGGTTTCCCCAGCCCAAACATGCTCTGAGAATATAAGCCATTTGCTTCAAAAAACAAGTTAATGAAAGCAGTCGGGCCGCTATGGTGAAATGTGGGAAAGTTGTTGGTCTTTAACTCAAAGTAACATTATTGTTTGTTTACTTAATTTAAAACATTTTATTTATTTATTTGAGAGAGAGAAGGGTGAAGGGCAGAGGGAGAAGGCTGAGCAGGGAGCCCGATGCGGGACTCGATCCAGGGACTCCAGGATCATGACCTGAGCTGAAGGCAGTCGCTTAACCAACTGAGCCACCCAGGCGCCC